AAGGAGGTCCGGTGGTCACCTGGCAGAACAAGAGCACGCGCGAGTGGTTGGCATGAAGTTTCTTCAGCAGCTGATCCAGCGCTTTCATCTTTCCCGCGTTGTCCACCAGGTGCTCCCCCTCGACATAGGGGGGTCCAGGTTCCTGCCCCTCGAAGAGGTAGGGGTGGTTGCAGGCTTTTCTCAGCTGCATGACGATGTTGAGCAGCTGGGAACGGTCGCCGCCCTTGCCGCTGATGGCTGAAAGGTCCTTCTTGAGGATGTGGCTGTACAGGTTGCGCTGCATGCTGGAGAGTGGAATGTAGACGTTGATCTCTTGCTTCGGAAGCAAGCTTCTCTCCACATCCCTCTTGAGCCTTCTGAGCATGAACGGGCCCAGGATCCCCTGCAGGTTAACAGTGACGGCGGCAGCGTCAGTCGTACTGTCCAGCCTGAACAGGTTCTCGAAGTCCTGAGAGGAGTGGAACTCGTCTGGGAGGACGAAGTTCAGCAGGGCCCATAGCTCGTGGACGTTGTTCTGCAGCGGAGTCCCGGTGATCAGCAGCCTCCCGCAAGTCTTCAGCTCCCTGGCCACCTGGGCCAGCTGAGAATCCTCGTTCTTGATCCTGTGCGCCTCGTCGATCGCCACGTACCTCCACCTGACCCTGCAGATCGCATGCTTGTGCCGCAGGAACACTTCGTAGCTCGTCAACAGGATGTCGAACCTCCCAGCTGCCATCTCCGACGAGATCAGCTCCTCCCTCTCCTGCGCCGTCCCCTGCAGGGCCAGCAGCCTGGCCGTTGGGATCCACTTCTGAACCTCCAGCTGCCAGTTCCCCATGGTCGACTTGGGGACTAGCAGGAGGAAAGGGCCGGACGTCCCACACTGCATCATCAGGCCCAGGAACGCCACAGTCTGCACCGTCTTTCCCAGCCCCATCTCATCTGCCAGGATGCCTCCGATGCCGTTGCAGTACAGCGAGGCCAGCCAATTCAGCCCATCGAGCTGGTAGTCCCTGAGCTGACCTCCTCGCAGGATCTCGGGCTGAGAGTGGATAGGGAGAAGCTCGCTCATCCTCGCCGCGATCGACTCGATGTGCCTCGAGCCGTCGCTGAGCTTCGATGCCTGCTCCTTTAGCAGCGCCTCGTCCTCCTCCCTCTCCGTCAGCCTCCCCGGCCGTTGCCGGTCCTTGGATCTCGACTCCCTCCCCTTCTGCCGCAGGTACGTCCCGATCGACGTCTCAGTCTCGATGAAGAACTTCCTCCTTGCCGCCAAGTCCCGCTGCTCATGCAGGAACCCTATCTCTTGCTTGTGCGGATCCTGAGGGGATTTCCCTCCTCCCCGCAGCCGGATCGAGCCCTGGCAGATCGTTCTCCGCTCCCATCGCCTGCCCTGGCTGTTCCAGCATGCAGAGCAAGTTTCCTGCGCGGAGAGGCAAGGAGGAAGGTACTGCGCGATGAGCCTCGGCAGCACCACAAGAAACACGATCCCCAGCACCCGCCCTGCAGCCATCCCCTCCAGCTAACAACGTCAGAGCCTCGTCTCTACGAGAGCCTCAGCACCTCCCCGTCATCAGCAGCTAACATCCACGTGTCTCACGGCACTTGCGATGTTCAGCGACAGCAAGCTGCTCAGGAGAGGCTTCGTACTGGCTTTCATCGACTTGCTGTCCCCCCGTCCCAAGAACCCTGTCCTCAACTACTGGACAGAACCTAAGGCGCCAGCCCTCAATGGCCCGCCATGCTCGCAGAGCACGGACCGAAGTCAGAGATCTCGGCGACTTCCGACCTCTGGAGGATTTTTGATCATTCGAACAATCTGCAGGACAAATCATCCATCAAAACTTGGAATAACACAGTGGAACAGGCAGCAAATTTCAAACTGAACGCTCCTCTAGTTGTGGGCCTTTCACATCCTAGCATCTCTTGAGACAGCTACGGCCCTTCTCAGCTCATCATATCTTATGCTTTCATACGGTACAAGATCTCTTCCTCTCCTCTCTCCTCAGCTCATCATATCTTGTGCCAACCCTTCTCCCCGCCATGTGACCAACGTATCCCGAAAAGTTCCATCCCTATCTCCTCGCTTCCATCCCTTCCTCATCCCGTCTCACTCTCTTCTTACTTAATCTGCATCCTCTGCCACACATCCATTCGCCTTCTTCTCACTCTCATAGATCGGCTCCCTACATCCATCTTCCCCCGCGTACCCTTCTTTCTCCTCGCTTCCTCTTTCCCCACTCTCCTCCTCATCCCCAACCTCCCCACTCATCTTACAAAACCCACTCATCTCCTTCATCATAGCTTCCCTCCCTTTCTTGCCCTCTCCTCCACCTCTCCTCTCCTCTCCTCTCCTCTCCTCTCCTCTCCTCTCCTCTCCTCTCCCCTCCCCTCCTCTCCTCCACCTCTCCTCTCCTCTCCTCTCCTCTCCTCCTCCTCTCCCCTCCTCTCCTCTCCTCTTCCCTCCTCGCCCCTTCCCTCCCCTCCTCCCTCCCTCTTTCGATGCATGCCGGA